CATGGCTGCCATTACAGCATAGGGCAGTGCGCTGGTAGCAGGGCGAGGAGACGGGGTTGCACTCTGTGTGAGAGAGCAGCAGGAGTGAATGGAGGTCTGCCTGGCAATGGGTCTTGAGCCACCTGATAGATTACGGGTCAGGATTAGCGGGCAGAACAAAGTGGACAACATTGTGGTGGGTGTCTGCTATAGACCACATAATCAGGAAGAAGTAGGTGAGGCTTTTTTCAGACAACTGGGAGAAGTCTTGCATTTGCAGGCCCTGGTGTCCTTGGAACAGTTCAACCTGCCTGATACCTGCTGGATGGACAACACAGCAGGGCAGAGGCAATGCAGGAGGGTTTTGGAGCACACTGAAGTCAACTTCCTAAAAAGGTGACTGAGGAACTGATGAAGGAAGATGCTCCTCATGATCTCATAAACAAGCAAGAACTTGTCAGGAATGTGACAGGCAGGGAAAGCTTTGGCTGCCACAACCAGCAAATGGTGGAATTCAGGATCCTGAGAGAAGGAAGCAAGGCAAAAAGTAGGATCGCCACCCTGCAGAGCAGGTTGACCTGTTCAGGCATCTTTTTGGAAGAATACCATGGGATATGGTCCTGGAGAGAAGAGAGGTCCAGGAGGCCTGGCTGTTTTTCAAGAATTGCCTCACCCAAGGTTAAGAATGGCCCATCCCAATGGTGAGGAAATCAAGTAAATGTGGCAGGAGGCTTGCATGGAGGAGCAGTGTCTGCCAGTAGTCAGTATGGATTTACACAGGGGAAATTATACTTAACCAATGTGTTAGACTTCTACTTAGACTTGGTGGATGATGACAGAGTAGTTAATATTATTAAATTTGTCTTTGTAAGGCTTTTCACACTGTCTCCTGTAACATCCTCTCTGACAAGCTGATGAAGTACAGGCTAGATAAGTGGGCAGTGAGCTGAATGGAAAACTGGCTGAACTGCTGAGCTCAAAGGATTGAGATTGTGGCACAAAGTCCAGCCAGAGGCCACTTACTAGTTGTTCCAGGGGTTGATATTAGGACCAATGCAGTTTAACATCTTCATTAACAACCTGGGTGCTGGGGCAGATTGAACCCTCAATAGCTTTGAAGATGATACCGAAGTGGGATAGTCGTTGATACAGTAGATAGCTGTGCTGCCATCCAGAGCTACCTTGACAAGCTGGAGAAATGGCATCACAGGAACCTCATGAAGTTCAAAAAAAGGAAAAACAGAGTCCTGCACCTTGGGAGTAACAACCCCAGACACCAGTAGATGCTGGGGGCTACCCAGCTGGAAAGCAGCTTTGCAGAGAAAGTCCTGGTGGGACAAGTAGATCGTGAGCCAACAATGCGCCCTTGCAGCAAAGAGGGCCAATGGCCTCCTGGGCTGCATTATACAGAGTGTTGGCAGCAGGTCAAGGGCAGTGATCTTTCCCCTCTGCTCAGCACTGGTGAGGCACATCTGGGGTGCTGAGCCCAGCTCTGGGCTCGTCACTACAAGAGAGACATGAACATACTAGAGGAAGTGCAGCAAAGGGCCATGGAGATGATTAAGGGACTGGAACAATCTGTCATATGAGGAGAAGCTGAGAGAGCTGGGACTGTTCAGCTTGGAGAAGAGAAGGCTCAGGAGGATCTTATCATTGCATATATATACCTTGTGGAGGAGAAAAGAAACAGGAGCTAGACTTTTCCTAGTGGTACCCAGAAAAGAGGCCATGGCACCAACCAAAATACAGGAAATTTTGATTAAACATAAGAAAATTGTTAAGATGGTCAAACACTGGTACAGGTTGCCCAAAGAGATTGTGGAGTCTCTATCCTTGGAGATATCCAAACCCTGACTGGACACAGCCTTGAGTGACCTGCTGTAGATGACTTGGCTTTGAGCAGGGGAGGTAGGACAAGACAATCCCCAGAGGTCCTTTTCAACCTTGGTGATTATGTGAAGACATGTTGTGTGTGGAAAAATCCCACAGCTGACATCATGATTGAATCACCAAGAGCTCTACTGTAAACCCTTCCCCCAGAATTCCTTTTGCTGTTAAAATTTATTTAATTCAGGGACAAGAGACTGATCATGCCAATACAAGCAAGCTTTATCTAACAGAAAAAAAGAATGTATGTACTGGAGGCATAGCTATACCATAAGTCCTTCTCATAGCAGAGAAGGCCTTAACCAAATAGCAGGGTTATTTGGTGGGTGAATCTGTAAGACACACAGTAATATGACATCCCAGCATATCTAACATTGTCTGGCACCTGTTGTATAGGGTTCATACAGGGACATTTCTGATTCAGGATTGGTAGGAATGTATACTACATTGAACTACTTTTTTTTTGTTTGTTCTTTAACTACTATGGTGGGGCCAACACCAAATCTTTGGATATATTTCCAAGGCCTCTCTCTTTTTTTTTTTAAGAAAGATGAGTCCTAAGTGATGTTTGTGCTTAATGATAAAATCTCAAGCCAGTCAACATTCTTTTTTTTTTCATTGCTACAATTATGTTTCTAAGGTTGTTTATTGGGGATGCCACCAGTATCGGTCTACATTAGGATGGCACGGGTTGATTCAGAGTCAACATGTAACACTGCATGGAAATTAAACATGGGCTTTTCAAAGGAGCCCCAGAAGTGGAGACATCTAGGATAGGATTTTCAAAAAACTCCTGACATGTCATGAAAGTATCAAAAAAGGTGTTAAAAGCATTTTCTGTCAATTTGGCAGGACTCAAGTTGGCTTACTTGGAACCTTGCATTTAAATTAAATGCCTATGGGTGGTTTTGAAAATTCCACTCAGGAGATAAGGCTGAAAAATGATGCTCGAGCAATCAAGTCATGCTCTTCTTGACCATTAGTGTCTGTGCTGCCCACTCATGTGACTGTCTGCGCTGATATTACCCTCCTTCTGTGTCTATCTTCCTGATTACTTTGGGTGTCCAGAGCTGTTCCCCAGTGCCTTCCTTAAACTTTTCCTTCATTAGCTTCAATCCATTACTCACCATTCTAATTTCTCTTGAGACTGAATAATCCCTTTCTCTCTTTTTGTTGCCTTGAAATTATTTATAGTCTGCGATCACGTCTCCCTGGGTTTACTCTTGTCTAGACTAAATATATTTAGCTCTTTTACTGTCACTCCGTGTGTCTTACTGCGTCGTTTGTTATCTATCCTTGTTTTCTTGAGGTTTGCAGTACCTTTCCTAAGCTGAGAAAAATAATACTAAATATACTGTTCCAGGCTGTTACACCAAAAGTATGTTAAATGACATTATTAGCTCCACAGTTTTACATGCTATTTCATGTACATACTACTGGTTATAATACCAACCTAAGTTAGTCTGCTACCTTTCTTCTGGGCAGAAAGTTGAATTAATTCACTGCAAACTGCTGTAAGGGCCAACTCCAGCAGTCATTTCTCACATCATAATAACTGTGAGATTTCTAGTGGAGCAAATCTGAATCTTTTTCTGAGGCAATTTTCTTCTGTCCAAAAATATGATTTTATTGAACTTTAAGCTTTGCAACACTATATGACAACTTAAACAATTTAATTTTTTTTAGGTTTGTTGGTGAAGGCTGACCAATATTTTCTGCTCAGTGAGGTATGTGCTTTGTCCCCTATAAAATGTAGAAAGAATAAAAAGTTCTGTATTCAAGCATAACATTAGTTGGTTTTTTTAAACAACTCTGTTTTCTTATCTTTTTTATTTAGAAGAAAATAACCTGTTTGGATGGCAGATTCTTTTACAGGAGACGACTAGTTTGTTCAGTTTTTAATTTAAGGCCCACCTCCACCAAAAAATGGATTATGACTCATTCTAACTCATGATCTACTAGGTTTTTCTGTTAGGACTATGACTTCACATACTGATGTACCAGTATGAATACTTTATCTATATTCTATCGCTCTAACATGATCAGACTCATAGTGCTAATCCCTTCCACCTCCAACTGTACATACTCAGTTTGAAATGAGACCATCTTTCTTAGAGATAAACAAAAATTTTGTAATATGCTTAGGTGGACATTAACGTTGAAACAGAGCAAGGGATCCAGGGGACAAAAGAAGTGAAAGAAGCTTTTAGTGAATGATGACACGGTCCTCTAAAGTGATGTACATGATTTATGGAAACAGGTATCCAAAGACTTACTCTGTAGTCACTGGATGTCACATAAAATATGGGGAGAAAGGCCAGCCAAATGATGCACGTTGTGTACATTGTGAAACCGATAAACTTGGCTTCGTTGAAATTCTCTGGACATTTTCTTGTTTTGAAGGCATATACAGTGCATAAGACTACGAGGATTACATCATATGTTAAGGAGATTAACATACTGGAATCTTTGACATTGCATTTCAATATGACAGTCTCTCTCTTCTCAGGAAGAGTGTACCGCCTGGTGCCAGGGGCCTCCAAGATAAGCCACACGGACACCACCACAATCTGTACCAAAATGAGGCTCAGGCAGATGAAGACCTGAGAGCTGGGGCTGATGAACTTAGGCCTTTGAGCACCGTTCTTTACACCATCAAATATTCTGGCTATGCAGTTTGTTTTTGTCAGAAGGGCAGAGTAGCAGACAGCAAAGGAACTTCCTAGCCCCAAACGACGCAGGGTGCAGATAGCTGGAGAAGGCTTGGCTATGAAGAAGAAAGTCATGCTGTAAGACAGGAAGACCCCAAAGAGCAATATGTAGCACAGTTCACGGCCAGAGGCTTTGACCAGGGGGGTATTGTTGTGCTTGATGAACACTGCAATGACCATAAAAGTACAAATAAAGCCCAGGCATGCAATGGTAACGGGACCTATTGCCCAAGCATCTTCCCACTTGATGTAATCTTCTGGTAAGTCATAACAGCCAGTCAGGTCAGCTGTGGGCCATTTTCCAGGTCCACAGTCCGCACAGGTAAATTCATCAGCCAGGTACTCATAGGTTTCACAGGGAATACAAATCCAACAGCAGACATCTCCTGGTTGCATATTCTTCATCTCGTTAGGAGCACAGGGGTCACTGCATTGGGAGATGGGGACAGAGCTCCTGGACCAGTGGATAGAGTCTACATCAAGTGACAAGGTTTCTGCCCAGTGACCAACCTTCACATAGGAGTATCTGCCTCCAGTGTACTGGAAATTAAACACGTTGTATCGTCCTATCCCATCTCCATAGGCATCAAATTTGACCATACTGTCAGCGGCATTGGGAGGGTTGAATGGAGCTGTGGGAAAAAAAAAGAAAGAGAAAAAGGAATATTATTATCAAAACAGCAGATGACTTTTTTTTATCCTTTTGGCAAGCACAGACATGAGACACCTTATAGAATCCAATTCAAGTGCCAACAGGTAAGTTGAGAGGTCTAGATCTGTCTAATTTTTGAACTTGGAAGAAGAAAAGAACTCAGATAATAAAACTCTATTTCACTTTACTGCATGAGAAATATTTGTAAATGTGGAGAGTTACATTAGATTACCAATGTCCTTACTTTTTTTGGACATTTGTATCACTGGATACAAACTAATTCTCCCATTATTTCCCCCAGTATGCCCAATTGCTACCTTTCACATGTTCTCTTGAAAGAAAAAGGTCTGCTTCTAACTGAGACTCAGCATTATTTGGTGAAATTCGGCTGTCATTATATAAGGAAATTCAAATGGTGAGATCAATAAACATCAGTTTTGAGGCCAGCCACCTGAAATGTGATTCAATAGAGGATTCATTTTGAAGATGATGGAGAAGTAACTATGAAGTCCTCAACAGTTTCTTACTATGTCTTTTTCACTTCTCCCTGTGTTGTAGGAAGCTTTGAATCCCTTCCGTTTTGCTTCAATTTTACCAGTTTCTGATATTTCTTGTCTGGTATGAGGTTCCCAGCATGTGCTGCTTTGGTCCTACACCTTGTTTGGGGAATAGATAAAAAAAAAACACAAAATGGATCTGTGACCTTCTGTGAAATCAATATTGTAACACTTCCAACTGGTAAGCTCTGGAGAGTTTTTGTTTTTTCCTGCAGCTGAGGCTCATGCAGGGAATGAAGAAATATTAAAAATGTAGGAGGATATTTCATTTACTATGTGATTTATTGGTATTTGCTGTAGCATCAAAGGTGAATAGCTTTATAGGCAGGAAGCAAAAGGGTTTGTTGTTTTTTTTTTTTTTTTTTGCCATTGATGAGCAATAACGGTGATTTCATTCCCCAGTGTCTTTGGTTACAGAAGTGGTTCCACTATCATTGCTGGAATAAATCTTTGTTCCTGCATCTGCGCCCATGCTGTGCTTGAGCATGAGCAACGCCATATAAGGATGTAATATCTTCCTCCACTTCAACCTCCAGATACTTTGGATTTCTTGCAGTAGATGTACTTAGCTTCCATAAAGCACTGGGGCTAAATTCTTTCACCTTTATTCCTTACCTTATTTTGCAGTACTTCGACTAAGGTTGGAGGGTTAGTGCACAACCTGCACCTCCCCAGGTGCTGGACTTGGAGTGCTTCTTTCCCAACTTTCTACTTATCTTAGGGCAAGGATGGAAGATAATTCATGCCCATCTATAGTCTCTTCTGGGCTTGAGTCAAGACTCTGCCCGTTCTTATCCCTGCCCTCTCCTGTGCTTTGCCACCTCACCTGTGTCAACTGCAGTGGTGGACAGCCTTGGTTTGCAGGATTACAGACTAGGTCTGGGTAACCCAGGAATGTGTAAAAGAGGATTGTTTTCTCTTGTTCTTCACTGTTGGCATCTAGTTGTACTGCTGTCTAGCCCAACAAGACCTCTGAGTGTACAAAAGTTAAGGGCAGCATAATACTCCCCCAAATGGCCAGTCCTCCTGCAAATAACATGCTCTAAATTAGACAGGTAGCTAAATTAAAAATATAGGTCAACAAGAAGAATATTAAGCAGTTTCCCTTCTCTTCCTCCTCCTCCTCACGCACAGGCATACAAGCTCTCTCATCCAGGAGCAGCATTAAAATGAAATCATAATGCAACACTTAATAGCTCTTCAATAATGTGTTGTCATTGCCAGTGTCTTATTTCATTATTCATAACACTTCTATACATTGCAGAAGCTGTTAACATAGCAGCCCAGTTTTAAGAGCCAATTTATTCACTTTGGTGTTATACAGGCCAGCTCCTGAGGTGTGCTGAGAGCCTGTGACTTCTACTGGCACCAGTGGAGCCCCAGGTAGGCAAACTGCAAACTGGCTGCATGGCTTATCTTCTGTGAAGTGCACAACTTCAAGCGCATGAGTATCCCAGTGCAAGTTACATGAGGGTCAGAAATATCAACACTTCTCAGGAAAGAGTTCCCCCTGTGTAACATGTTTAACAACTTCTTAGTTCCAGTAGAATATTTGTCATTTAAATAGAGCAAAGTATTTGCCTTGGACCTTGCAGGTAGGTCCAGAAGGCAAAGCAGGTAATCTCACATGTAGTTAGCTTGAAGTTTATGTGTATGTTGCCTTTCATGGGACTGTTCCACACTACAAATATGAAGAAAATGTTTTGGTAGGACAATATGTTTTAAGTCAACCACAGCTTGTAGCTTGAAACATTCATTTGTGGTGGCTGCTAATAGAGGAAAATAAATCACACTCCTTCAGATGGAGAGGATGAAATCATTTAAGCAAACAACGATGTATTAAATTACAGTATGGTGAGCCAAAGCCTACAAATGAACCCACTGGGTGGCAGCAATTAATATACTCACTGATTACATGTAAAATTACTAAGTAATTTTAACTGATATTTATCAACATATTCTAGATTCTGTAGAACCACTTCCAAAAAGTCATGTTTTCAGAACGTATGATCTAATAATAATCATAAAAGAAGCAGCTTATAGGCAAGAATGTAATATCATAAGAAAGCAGGACTTTATGTTGTAAAGAGAATAATTTTTGCATATTGGTAGATGATTTTCCCACAGAGAATGTCAAGCCCTGTCATAAGTCACTCTGAGAATTTTTTTTGTAGTTAAATTTCATTTTTGATGGTAAAACTACAATGTTTATAGCAGGTATCTCTGGCAGGTATTTTTTCAGAGCTGTAGCTAAGCTGTTTTGCATTTGTCCCTTGGGAGATGAGAGACAAGACTCTCTGGGTCTACCCATGCTGTTAGCTAAGAGGCTATCATCTGAATGACAATAAAATCTTTGTCTCCTTTGAGCTGTCTCTTGGAATCTTCTCCTCCCCTTGCACTTCATGAAATGAATTTTCCTTATGCAAAGCAGTTAGTCAAGAGAAATTCTATAAAAGAAGTTATCAAGGAAAAGAAAGGATGATTAAAAGTGACTTAAAGATAAACCAGTGATGCTTTGTGCTCCACCTTGCAGCAGTTCAGCAATGAAGATGCAACAGCAGTGACATTTATGAGAAGAGCAGAAACACTCAGGTCCACCGAGTGTAGAAGGCAGAAACCTGTGGAGTGACAGTGCAGGCAGCCCACCTCTCTCAGCTCACTGAAGAAATCCTATCAGAGGAGAGGACTCCATTGTGTAAGTGGAGGACAAGCTCCTTCAGCTTCAGGTAAGAGAGGAAAGACTGTGTAGTTTTATGACTATTTTAGTAGCAGATATGGATAAGGACATAAAATAATATCATAGCTTTTATGTAGTGAATTATGGCATTTTGTTTCCATCTTCCTACGGTGGGATCATCTTTTCCAACAATCGCATAACTTGGTAATATGTGCTTATGTGTTGGTAGAAGCAGATGAGTTGTTTTCATTTGGAAATCTTTATTGGTTTTGGTTCAGTGATGTACAGCCCTTGGTGACATGAAAAAATTCAGAAAAAAGTTCTGAAGGGGGGATTTATTTTCTTATTGGTCAGAAACTTTATTTTAAGAGGTGGTATGGGAAATCTTTTTTGAAATGCTTCTGATTCTGCACATTAGCTCAGTTGGGTGAAAGTACTCCAGGATTTTTTTAACCAGGGATGAGTAGATGAAGAAAACAAAGCAGTTTTAATCCTAATTAGGCACAGGGAAACTTTGAAAAGACAGAGTAGCCTAGGAAAAGATGAGTGTCATCTTAACTGGCTTGGAATCAGACCGAATTTTGTTTGCCAGCAACATCTTTGGGCCAGGAAGGATATTTTGCATACAGTCTCTTGCATGCATCTGATGCAGAGCTGAGTGTATAGATGTCTTATAGAAAATACCATCAGTAACACTTCCTGGTAGGAATGATGACAGGTATGCCTACATCTGAGAACAGCCTTCATATCCAATAAAACATGCATCTGTTCTTCGCTTGCAGAGTGTATTCTTTCAAAACAAGGTACGGATCAGAGGCACAGCTCACTAGCTAGGAGGCAATTCATTAATAACAAGGCTTGATGAAAGCTCTGCAGTTTTTCAGCTCAGCAGTTTGCAAAGCTGTGGGATTTCATGCGGTTCAGAAAGAAATGTAAAAAGGACTATTGTGTGCACCACAGGCACCTTCTTCAACAGCTTGTTGGCCCCAAAGACTTTCAGCCAATAGACTATAAGGAGATAATCATTAAAAAAGAAAGGCAAGTGTAAAGAGGGAAGAGGCTGGAGTTTCTGCATAGTTGAGTGAAACCTCCTTAGCTCACTAGGTGGTGCTGCAAAAACTCTGAACTTCTGATTTAAGACTGAAAAACAAGACATTTTTTTATGTAACGGAAAAAATACAGCTTTTTAAATGCCCCTTAGTCCTTCCTGTTACATATCCTGGGCAATGCCTTATTAAAGCACTGTAAGGAAGAGCTTCGATAATAATATAACAACAGGATATGGTGTGTTTGTCCAATGGGCTCATCTGCATGTATGACGCCTTATCTTGAAAAGTATCACAAAGGACCCTGAGAATGCATATATCTTTTCATTTTCTTTGATTTTTAGCTAGATATGGTTTGTTGAGGTCAAAATGGCTTATTTCTGCTTGGCTGAATATTCAGACCAGGTAATGGAGACCTGATGCACCCACTCTTGTTTCTGTCTCAGCATAACACAGCTGGTTTCACACCTGATCGACAGAAAAGACATTGAAATTTGTCAATTTAAAAGTTAGTGTAGCGAAAGCTCAGAGTGAAGTGTGACTAGATTGTACCTCTCCACAATTAATAAATAATGAATGGGCTTAAAATATCAGTTTTCACAGAGACAAGTAGTCAGTTTTAACCTCTGCACCATCGCTTCTGGATGTGTTTGGGTCATATGCAGTATTGCTGTTTCTCATTCAAGAAATGAATGAGACT